TCCACGTGGCCATGCCGGGCACTATAATGTAAGTTGAACTGTAAAAAACGTCAAACGCAGTCTAGCCTGGTTTCGTCATGGTGTTTGAATTCTATGCAAAGCGACACCTAGCGGCAAAGCTAAGCTAACTTTTTTTTTTTCTCCTTTCGAAGACTTCAACCTATACTGTTGTACCATTGGCTTGATTTAAGTATTCACTTTGTAGTTTGGTTTCGTTCTATTTTTTTTGTTTTAGTTAGACGATGAGTATGGGTAACTTAACGAAACATATCAGGCAAGCTAGTTAATCACAATAATATTGTAGTTGTTAAGGTTGGAGGTATACTTTTCCCGCTTCGCGAACAAAGTGTCCGAAGGCCATAATATTAAGGCTTAAAAACAACTGGAGATGTTAGGCGTAGATCGCGTGAAATTTTGTTTACTTTTGTCACTAAGAGAGGTCGCTGATCTTTATGAATTTTTTTTTTTTTACCTAGAAAATTTATTTTAACGAATGTAATTATAAGCTCTCAACTTTTTCTAGAAAGATTATACGAAAGATCTAAAAAATAACAAAACAATTTCATTTCATACTTGCATACTTAAGTACGTTATCGTGAAAAATAAACTTTTTAATCAATGATAGAGTTAGGGCTCAGTTTTGTTTGAGTCAGTGACGTAAAACTTTTCGTTTAAAGTTGGCCGGAAGCAAGTGAACTCTAATTATCGGAATGAAAACCGTTTCAGGTTTCAACGAATTAACATCCAGCATATTTCACTCACCGACATACATACAGATTCGAGTGAAAAATAGAAAAATTCTTTGCGGCAATTTTAAAGAAGGTTTTTTTTTTTTAATATTTTTCGGCGCATAGAATAGCACGCTCACTTATCCGCCAAAAATTACTTATCTTCCAAATTACCATAAAACTAATTAAGTTAGAATTAAGGTTTCCCCTTGTAAGTCAATACCGTGAATTTTACTCGAATGTCATCTGTTGCAATAATTTTCCTTCTCTATTCGAGATTAAACTATGCCATGTGTACATAAGGAGCGAGCAGCCTCACCGATTTTTACATCCTGATTTCGAAACGTCATTAAGTACGTTTCTCACAGACACGGTATACTTACGGCGATTCATTTCCATATCTTTGTATGATGTTCGGAGGAAAGTTTCACAATAAACAAGGACAACGAAACTTAAGATAAACAACATTATTTATAACAAAGATAACTGTTTCGGAATTCTACAGATTCTATCTTGACATTTGCTTCCTTCCGGAGTGTAAACTCCGACACGTCATTTCAAAGTTTTTCCATTTTAAATTGTTATTAACGCAACTTTTACTTAAAACGTTAATCGTACCAAATAACCGCTTCTCTCTCTCTCTCTCTCTTTCTTCAAACATCACCAAGAGAAAGAACACGTGTAAACACTTTTATTGGTCAAAATTTCACAGTGTTGGTTTATAAGTAGACGGGTATAATTGTGAACCGCTACACCTCCAGGATTTGGTTACAAGTACACTGGAATAATAGTGGACCCTTCCAGTATTGTTTTATAAACCTGGCACACCCTTTTAATACTTGTTTACAAGTACACTGGAATAATAGTGGACCCTTCCAGTATTGTTTTATAAAC